CTGGAACCTACCGAATTGGCGTAGAATCTGGTTCAGTGATGAATCACGATTTCTATTGGAACGACACGATGGAAGAATGCGGGTGTACAGACGTCGACGTGAACGTTTCGCCCACGCTTGCGTTCCCCAGGTGGACAGATTCGGCCGACAAGATCACCGGACTTAAACCCGATCGAACATCTTTGGGATGCCCAGGACAGACGGTCGCGACGCCGTTACCCTCAGCCCCAGACACTTCAGCAACTCGCACAGGCACTGCAGGCAGAGTGGGCTGCGATTGGGCAACACGAGATACTGAGACTTATTCGTTCGATGCCGAGGCGATGCCGTGCAGTTCTTGATGCCCACGGTGGTCACACGAGGTATTGACTTCAGCGCCACCACACGTCTCCATGTGACTCTCAAACTGACTTTCCTCGAGTTGGTGCCAAAGACGGATAAGTCTGCATTCCCAGTGTGCAATTTCGCTATATTTCATTCACTCATAAAGCCTACAAGATGTTTCAAAATAAACATAAAAATACAGTTTAAATTCATACATGCGTTTCTTTTTTGGGCGAGTATACATGTACACCAAATGCATACACTGATACTGGCTTCAAGCCATAAAAACTACAGTACTCAGGATAAGTTTCAGTGGTAAAAAGCTCAAATAGCGGAATGTACATCTGTATTAAATGTTAATCTTCAAATATATGTACTTTTAAGGCAATGTATGTATTTTTATGGTAGTGAATTAGCATACTGATCATACTGGGTATTATTATATATTCAAGTTAGTAAAATAGTGGGTCAAATTCATTGTATTCAGCAGTATAATTGTGTGTGTTTTCTGTACAGATCATTTGATTCCCCATGTTTATTTTAATCATAAACATTTCTGAATAATATTGGTAAAACCTTTTCATGTTGTCTTACAAACCGATTCAGACAACATTCTTCGAAAAATAGTGTGTACATGGATGGATCTGTTTAATTTTATTACAAATTATATGTACCAAAGTAACTCAAGATAAGGAATATATTTTTTTGTATTATGTTACTGAGAGCCGATAATTTTACCAGCACACCCGCATTTATAAAACAATGGTTTGAACTTTATCAATTATTTCCTCATAATACATAAGAAAATAATTAGATAATAAATGGCTTTTTCAGTGTGGAAGCGTTAGGGCAGCAGACCCTGGGAACCAGGCTGAGCCGTTTTCTGTTTCCGAGTCATTAAAATATCCACGGAAACTGTCGATGTTTATCGAAGAGAGGCCAAACAGTGATTCGAACCCCTGTGGTTATAATACATATCGTCAAGTCACATAAGTTCGATCGTCATGTAACTTCGATCGCCCATTTTGAATGGTAATTGTTGCAATACGTAGCGATAACTTACGATATCTGCAGCTTTGATCTTCTGGTGACACCACTTTTATTCGTTTGGACCGGAAAATGTTTCGTGTCAAGTTACCAAACGTAAGTTATAGCTCATATTCAGCAAACAACTACTTTTTAACCCTAGATCAATAATGTAACTTTATCAGCACCAATAAAATGTAAACAGTACTTATTTCACACGTTGTAAATTGACAGCACCCCTGTCTTCTGTTTGTTTACGTTGCTGGTCTAATTGTGACATGTCCAGACACGTGATATCCTTGTCAAAATTTAAAACTTTGGAAACAAGTAAGGGCCATTTCATATAGAAAACTTAATGCTTTTTTGAGAATTTCCGTGAATTTGTACCTGATGAAGTTTGAGCTATTGCCTCATTGATAAATACAACCTGGGCACAATGTACCCACCCTACATGTCAGCACAGAACACATTTACGTTTCTGCAAGCCAGTTCGTGGTGTTTGTCTACATTCTGAGGTTTGATGCCTGTCACGATGTGCCTGAAGAATAATTCCCTGCATAATACTTCTATATAAGCTGAATATTTGTGACTTTTCATCGTTTTTTAGAAGTATTGAAACATAAAATGAACGTTTCATGGACATAAATACCATAAAATTACTTGGGACTGCTCAAACTCTGAATTTGACACAAGAAATCGCCCTTACAAGTCATCCTGTTTACGTGACTAGCCAGCCAATCATGTGATCGAACTTATGTGACCCAATATAACTGGGTCACTTGTGTTGACAGTGAGAGGGCGGCCATCCCGCGATTGTGAAAAGCGGTAAAAATAACTGGATTCTGGAAATGTTTGACATAAATAAACAAGTTTAGAGGTAAGAGATTTGAAAATAAGATTATATGAATATAACTTTGAAAATTCAGCGACAGTTCTTAAGTGATCGAACTTACATGACACAAGGATACTATAGTTAATATTTTAACAAAGCGCGACACGCGACAATGCGACAACGCGACATTTCATCAAAATGTCGCGTTGTCGCATTGTCGCGTGTCGCGTTTTAGTCAAATACGTTATAATACATACTATACTCAATATTTTAACAAAGCGCGACAGGCGACGCGCGACAACGCGACATTTCATCAAAATGTCGCGTTGTCGCATTGTCGCGTGTCGCGTTTTAGTCAAATACGTTATAATACATACTATACTCAATATTTTAACAAAGCGCGACAGGCGACGCGCGACAACGCGACATTTCATCAAAATGTCGCGTTGTCGCATTGTCGCGTGTCGCGTTTTATTAGTTACGGCGGATTTTATAAACTATCACAAGCATGATTACTTTTCGATGTTTGGATTGGATTGGATTGGAGTGGATTGGAGTGGAGTGGAGTGGAATGAGTGCGTGAGTGGAGTGGAGCGGAATGAGTGCGTTGAGTGGAGCGGGGAGTGGAATGAGTGAACGGAGCGGAGCGGAGTGAGTGAATGAGTGAGTGAGTGGAGCGGGGAGTGGAGTGAGTGGGTGGAGCGGAGCGGAGCGGAATGAGTGAGTGAGAGAAGTGAGTCACTGAGCAGAGCGGAGTGGAGAGGAGCGGAGTGAAATGAGTGAGTGAGAGAAGTGAGTCAGTGAGCGGAGTGGACTGGAGTGGAGTGGAATGAGTGCGTGAGTGGAGCGGGGAGCGGAATGAGTGAGCGGAGTGGAGCGGAGTGGAGCAGAGTGAGTGAATGAGTGAGTGAGTGGAGCGGGGAGCGGAGTGAGTGAGTGGGTGGAGTGGAGCGGAGCGGAATGAGTGAGTGAGGGAAGTGAGTCAGTGAGTGGAGTGGAGCGGAGAGGAGTGGAGTGGAGTGGAGTGAGTGCGTGAGTGGAGCGGGGAGTGGAATGAGTGAGCGGAGTGGAGTGGAATGAGTGAGTGAGTGGAGCGGAGCGAAGTGGTGTGGAGTAGAGTAGAGATGAGTTGAGCGGAGGGAGGGAGCGAGCGAGCGAGGACCAATTCTGGCACTCCAAGGGTAGCAACTCTGCCAAGCGATTTGACCGCTTTTAAAATCATAATCATAACATTCCATTTGTATGGCGTTTTCCCAAGAAGAATATCACGTTCAAAGTCGACCAAAACTGTATTTGAGGTGCTGGATGGTTAAGTGATATTACCATCTCATTCTACCTGGTATCCATCCACTGCTGGCTGAACAAGTTCATCAGCGTCGGACAGGACTGTACCAAGAACTCTGAGGAGCCACACTGTGGAACATAGTGACCCATTCGTGGACATCACTTGATGTTTCTGCCGATGTGGCCTGAATTTTAACAATATTTGAGTTTTTTCACAACCTGTGAGCTTGACATAGGTGAAATGTCCAAAGTAATGAGTGTATATGGTACTGGGATTAGAACCTATGATCATAGTTTTCTGGTGTGACTAAGAGACACAACTCTGCACAGCAAATTGCCCCGCCTTGAATGACAGAGCCACCGTGTGCCGTGATTACAATGAATGGTAGCGCTAATAACTTGTCTTGCTGCGAAAACACACTTGATTCGCCAAATACATTTACAATATATACAATAATTTTCAAAGCAACAATGAAAGATTTCCATTAAGTTCAAGAAAAGCAGCCCCCATTATCATTACGCGTACTACTTCATTGTAAAAACCATTGGAGGTAACAAAAGACCACTGAAGTGTGAAATAGAGTATAACATTTCCTGCGCATGCGTAGACTCATTGACTTTCTACGCATGCGCACCGGTAATCGAAAAGGGCGAAAACGCGACACGCGACATTGCGACATATAATATGTCGCATTGTCGCGTGTCGCGTTTTAGTGAATTTTTGTAGGCTTCTTTTACACATCTTAGATAGGGCGACGCGCGACAACGCGACATATTTTGACCTTGAAAATTGTCGCGTGTCGCCCTTTGAGGAATAGAAAAATATTATTCAAAACGCGACACGCGACACGCGACATCGCGACAATGCGACAAATGGGCGAAATGTCGCGTTGTCGCGATGTCGCGTGTCGCGTTTTGGTTTATTTTGCCTCACTTTACTTGTTTTTGACAACGCGACAATGCGACATAGCGACAATGTCCCTTCTAGGATTCCATAAGGATCTACATTGAATCGTCACATCATAATGGATGTTAAGTTATCACCCATTGTATACCGATATATATTCACCATGATACAGACCAGCAGGAAAGGACTTTCCCCTACTACCAGTCCTCGTAGTGATTAAGATTGCGTGGACGTGGCTTATCGATTTACAGTTATAGGTGACCCCTTCAGTTATGACCCATTGTATACTGAGATATATTAACCATGACACAGATCAGCAGGAAAGACTTTCCCCTACTACCAGTCCTCGTAGTGATTAAGATTGCGTTGACGTGGCTTATCGATTTACAGTTATAGGTGACCCCTTCAGTTATTACCCATTGTATACCGAGATATATTAACCATGATACAGATCAGCAGGAAAGGACTTTCCTCTACTACCAGTCCTCGTAGTGATTAAGACTGCGTGGACGTGGCTTATCGATTTGCAGCTGTAGGTGACCCCTTCAGCTAATCAGAATGAATGAATTAAAATATTTAAAATAACACAAACTGAGCTTATTTGATTATAAGTGTATCACTTCTTACGTGAGAGGCAGGCCCTGGCGTACAGAAGGAACGATAGAAGGAAGGTCAAGGCACACAGCAGGTCAGCCCGACCCACGATCCCTGCTACCTGTAACACAGCAAGGTCAGAAAATCCTATTTGTTCATACGTTACCAAACAATAACATGATCTGGCATTCTATTGGTCTTCATAAGTAATCCGCCCATATTATAAATTGTCTTTAAATAATTTTGTCCTGCATAGACCATATACAGTTACATGATTGGGGTCCATTGCGATGTATTTCTAACGATAATAGTTGTAATAACCTTTTATCAGAACCAGACTAAAATATCGGTCTATTTTTATCTCTCTAAAGAGCTGGACATTTGATTTTGTGCAATTTGTAAACTGGGATAAACGTTTGTCGCTCTTGCACAACATTTCTGTAACAAACAATGCTCAGGATTCTCCTGATGGTGGTGGTGGTGATGATGATGATGATGATGATGATGATGATGATGACCACGATGCTGATGCTGATGATGGTGGTGGTGGTGGTGATGATGTAGATGATGATGATATGGTGATGATGATGATGATGATATGATGATGATGATGGCGACGACGACGACGATGATGATGCTGATGATGATGGTGGTGATGATGATGATGATGGTGATGATGATGAGATGATGATGATGATAATGATGATGATGTGATGATGATGATGATGATGATGATGATGATGATGATGATGATGATGATGATGATGATGATGATGATCTTCCTGTGTTCGTCTGAGCTTTTTGCACTAAATATGTTAGCATGAAAACGAGTTTTACTCACACTTTCAGTGTGGATTGGATGTACAGCAAACAACACAGCACACAGGAGGGCAGCTCGGGGCGAGGCAAACACCGGCCTGGCAGATTCCTGGTCAACCTGGTAACCAGACATGAGGACAGAGAATACTGCCAGGAAGATGACCGAGACCAAGCCGTGCAGGACGATGTTGACAACGTGGAAGCCCCGAGGATGAAGTCCTCCTGCCCAAGCGTAGTTCCACCTGGAACGGAACATTCTCGATCTTAGCAGCAAGATGAACATATTCAGGATGTAGGCCAGTGAGAGATGGATGTGACAAATAGGATGTGTGACAAATAGAGATGTGACAGATGGAACATGTCACAGAAGAGTGACAAATACCAGGCTTTCAATCTATCTTTATTCAGAACTGAAGGCCACAGGCCCATAGTACAGGTATATACAAAATTCAAAAGCAGTGTGGGTTTCTCTTCAATATTGCATGGTATATGAACAAAGCAATATTTTCAATCAATATACGATTAGAAGTTGACAACAGTTGAATAAATTTATGTTTTGACGGTTGTTTCGTAAAGTAACTGGGTATATATTTGCTTCTAATGTTTCTATAATAATCACAAATTAGCAGAACATGGTATTCATCTTCCAAGACATTCATTTTACAGTATCTGCACACAGTAGATTTCTTATGAAATTTTCCCTTATAACAACTTAAATCATAATAAACGGAACGAAACTGTGATAAGGCTAGTCTTACTTTCTTGATATTGATACAACGTACATATGGTTCACACAAGAAGTCTTCTTTTAACAGGGAATAAGTAAATGTACAGGGACTATTTTGGACTTTTGCATGCCTATATAAAGCAATATTTGCTTCTTCTTACAAGTAAATTTAAGAATTGGTGCTTATTTCCAACTCCCTCCCATATCCACGCATAACCTAGTCCAAATCTAAATAAAACTGTTTTTACATGTGTAGCCCAATTAAACCTATTACGCTCGGCGCTTGCGTTTAAATCTAGATTACATAACATTTTGTAAGCTTTAAATGGGTAGCGTGAAGCGGGCATGGAGAGGAGCTTTAGCCAGTAAGCAATACAGCGTTTTAGAGTGTACACATTGATAGGATATCTGCCAGTTTCTCCAAGGATAATTGTATTTGGTGTAGACATTCGCACACCAAGGAATCGTTTACATGCATAAAGCAATACCCTTTCCAGACAATCATGTTTGTGAAAGCCCCATAATTCTGACCTATATAATAATATGGGTAGTATCTTACAGTCGAATATTTTGAAATAGACATCATATGACAAGTCTTTAAAGCTACAAAGGCATTTTGTAATAGACACTAAAGCTTTCTTTGCCTTAAGTGAAATGTTTTTGGCAGAGAGGGACCAATTTAGAGTTCTATTAAATGATACTCCAAGGTACTGGTACGATGTAACAACTTCAAGCATAGCTGATTTATATGTCCATTTTTCTGATTTTGATAGTTTAGGTCCTTTTTTAAAGAGTGACAAATAGAGATGTGACAGATGGACGAGTGAGAGATGGATGTGGCAATTAGGATGTGTGACAAATAGAGATGTGACAAATGGGACGAGTGAGAGATGGATGTGGCAAATAGGTTGTGTGACAAATAGAGATGTGACAGATGGGCTGTGACAAACGGAGAAGTGGCAAAAAGCATATGCTACGGACTGGTGTGACAAATAGAGGTGTGACAAATGGGACGCGTGGCAGAGAAGATGGGACGAATAGAGATGTGACAAATGAAATGGATGACAGATGTCTGACACATGGTCTGTGTGACATGATATGTGACAAATGGGATGTTTGACAGATGGCGGTGTGCTAAATGTAGGCATGGCAAATGAGATGAGCGACAAATACGATGTGTGACAGAAGTGCGGTGCAAGGGAATTTGCCTACAATATTTCTGACAAACAGAATGTGTGACAGACAGTACAACCATGTAACAAGCATGTTGTGGCGCTAAGCAGGAGTGTCTCTTAAACAAGATGACCTACAAGTGGGTGATGACAGATCAGTGATGAAAAAGGGTGTTTGACAAATTGAGGAGGCAAAGTGAAGAAGGTCCTGTTCAAACGAACACATGGTGTGTGGAGCAGCTCGGGAGATAAATACATTTTAAATACAAATATGGTAAATCTCTTAAATAAAATGTATCGTTACATACATATGAAGGTTCCAAATATCTGTAGGAAAATAGATATCTGTATATGGCATTAACCTCATTTGATGAATATCTGTGAGGCCACAAATACTTACTGAAGACGTTGGTACAAGAATACAGAAAGTTCCCCAAGATCTAGGGTATACGTTCCGATAAATCTCCACTTGTACCCTGGATGCATCTACGGCTCGGACAGATAATTGTATTACCTCCCTTTCCTGCCTTCTCACAGTAGCCAATCGGATAAGCCGTTACAACCGCTGTGCGAGGCAGATTTAGGGAAAAACTCATACAGACAAATTGACTCCTACTTCTTTCAGGGTGCCTCTGCAACAATGGTGTTGCCAATATTAATCGGTTAGATAAAAGAAGCGCAACTGAGTTATGATAGAAGCCTTGTGATTGGTACGCTCAACTTCCCAGCATACACACCTGATAGGATAAAATCCAGCAAAGGGAGGTAATTGATAGTGACTAGGTCATATGGAGGAGACCAGGAAAGACCACCGCCATGTTTGAGAATGATGTCAATCCATCATGCAGGACAAGGTTTATGGTCATGCATTTCATACGCATATCCTGGGTGTGTCGAGTTTTAAACCGTAGGCATTTTGGAGGCACTCGTAGCCTAGTAACGTTTTAACAACGATTGTAATTAGTTAAATAAAGCTCCGTTTTGTTGCCTGGCAGTTTATAATAGTCTCTCCACACATGGATTAGTGCAAAAGTGCAGAGTAAGGAAATGAAAGGGGACCGGTAAAAACACATGTCTACAATTATTAATTATACTTTTCTGAGAACAATAAAATGTGTTTTGTCAGAAAGTTAAAGTAATTAATTATATGTTCTATATTGCATAATAATATATGATCAGCGGACAAGTATATACATAAACCCTGTTTTTCTAGAGTAGCATATATGTCTCATATTGGAGATAAATCGCCAACATTCTTCTTTCTTTGTCAGTTATAGATTTTCTCACCTGTAGGTCATCACAGTAATTGGCCTGTATGACTTGTGACTCTTTTCATCCAACAACTGTCCCCAGAAATCGTGTGAAAATATCGCTGTGAATGGAGTGTCGGGTAATATATCCCTATTGTTGGTGATGGCCCGTAAGTCGTCAAACACAAACTCCCCGTCATAGCTGTGCGCGAAACACAGCACCGCCAGACAGAAGACGAGGACAGATGCCACAGAGAAGCTGAGTTTAGGTACAGGCAGCACATCGTCCCACTCTGACTGGTGACTGTTTTCACCGGTGTACCTTCTTCCTCGTTTTGCTGCAACTCTGTGCATGATTAGTGTCGTCTAGAATAACAAGGAGAGCGCAACGACTAGATATTGTGAAACAATGCTCAGCATCAGCTTTGTTCAGTTAGACACGAAACTAACACAATAATACAAAACATTAGAGAACATGTCAAGTTTCCCACAAGGTGGTGCCTGTTACGAATTAAGCATAAGAAGCAAACAATAATTATAAAATGCAGTTTTGGCAACAGATGCTATCTTAGTTCAATATGAATCTTATCAGGTGCCCAGTATATTGTGTGTTTGATCGAACCCCTACTTCAGCTCTTCCTTATCAGCTAGTCCATGGAGTCCCCGTCCTGGTCCTTAAATCTGATTTTGTACTGACTGTATGCTGTGCCATAAATATACATCCGTGCATAAAATAAGCCCTCCCCTGTATTTTTACCAATTAATTTTGTCTGAAATGACATTCTGAACTCTTTCAAAAAATAACCTTTATAATTTGACAGAGCAAGCATTTAACATTTAAAAAAAAGAAAATATCATTGAAATTACCATGTACTTTAATTAGGATAATTGCCTATATTTAAAACATGTGTTTTTCTGCCCTATATAAAATAAGTTACCTTATTCTGAAAAGTGAAAGTAATAATTGATTGTTATGTGGCCTATGAATTCGTTATATATTGTGAGTGGATGAAAGTCTGTATACTAAGATAAGGAAAAGTTACAGTCAAACGAAAAAAAGTAAAATTTTAGAATGCTGTAAAAGTTGCTTTCCAAACAAAACAAACAGACTTTAGCTGTAAGTATCACTATCCGGCAAGGAGAGGTGTTTATTCAATAAACTAAACTATGCATAATTAAAGCTTATTTGATGTGTAAATGTTATCTTGGTATATAACAGAATTATTATTTTTAGTCAAAACTTAATTTAATTGTGTAGTTTCAGCAGGAGAGGAATATCTCTATTTTGGGTAAAACTTCAGTCCCATCACATTTTCATTAGCATAGTCTTTCATAAAGAATAGAAAAGGTTATGGTATTTGTAAAACTGCCAATGGATAAAGCTTCTTTAACTATGGGTTGATTAAATTGATGGGTATACTCTAACTTTTCTGTAGCATCACATCGTATTTTCAAAATTGGGTGGTGCTTAATTAATGCGCGGGTGTGATGTTTACAAAGTTGTACGTTTCGGATAACATCATTGGTGGACACGCACATTATGTTCGTAAAACGGCAAGTTCATATCTTGACTTCAAGAAAACAAAAAGAGGACAGTTACTATCAGCGTTTTAATAATGGATGTGGGGCAATGCACAAATCACCTGTTTTGATTCACAATGATACCTGTTACAGGCGAAGGGTTAGCAACTGACCTCCGAGATTCTTTATTTGCTATTCTAGTGGTCCTCATATTTATGTTGCATGTCACACTAGCCCTGTGGGAATTTCGGGTTAGAATGATTTATGGGTCCCCATCAACCCATGATGGTCGACATAACCACCTGTAGGCGAGGTTCGCTTGATGGCAAATTATGGTTTGCCGAGCTCGTGGATCGATGTTCGCCATACCAAATATTGATTGCCTGGTCTAGATTGGGTCATGCTGCTGTCATATACAATATTCAACTGGCGGCATTTAAATACATACCCACACATATGCACACACACAGCACACATGGCCGCGTTGTCAGTTGTAATTTGTTCTATATTAAGCCGAATAGTTGAAATTATGTAGATGTATCAATCTATAAAATATGTATTAAATGAATATGTGAATATTTTATGAATTGACATCTGAAATTCAGAGAATACATTGAAAGTTTTGATAGAATCAACCGAATCTCATACATCGATGAACCAACTGGCATGTGGATGTGCGGGTCCAGCCCCTGAGGCTGTAGGACTCACGACAATCGGGGTAACTGTTCATACCATAACACGGATGTCGACCCCTACATGGTATGATGGCGTCAGGGCGTGATAAGTATCCACGCACTAGTGCATGCTCAAGTCGCTGAAAAGTCAACATAAAAACATAAACATGAATATTTGTAAGAACTAAGACCTGGGTACGGTTGTACAAAGCAACCTTAGCGCCACGCCAGTGGTAAGTCTATGTTAAGGTATGGGAGCTACGATCACCTTATGCCCGCTTAACGGGCAGTTTGTGGGCGCCGTAGACCCATCGCAGGCCAAATGTGAGCCAGACATGACTCGTTCTACAACACTTCTTATAAGATACGGATAATTTATTATTATTTTTTCAAACAAATAGTCCCAAACACACAAAACACCACCGCCAACTTACTAACGGTATATTTGACAACTTAACCAATACTCGCCATTAAAAATGCAATAGGATTAGTATGTATATTCAAAGTGCTCGTTCTACTTGCACATCTTGTTATCGTCACAAAAGACTTACTTTCCGCGTTTTTCTCGCCTCTATAGGGATGGTGTGCACTGGTAGGAGATGATATAGATGTAATATAGAACGCGAGGCGCTCAGATTTCCCCAGCTGTTGTTGAACAGCATCACCCACATATTGATGAAAATATTTGTCCTTGAATAGAAGATCCATTCAAAAGGACTAATCGATGAACGTCCACAAGGTGTTACCGTAAACATTGTGTTTTCAGATGGTTTAATCGACGGGAAAGCAATGGTTTTTATTTTGGCGCAGTGTGTACAATTGTTTGGACAAAGGCTAGGATCACAATGTGGTGATTCGGACAAAGACCGAGATCACTATGCAGTGATTCGGTCCAAGGCTGAGATGACTTGCAGAGATTAGTACCTAGACTAAGAACACTCTGCAGTGATTAGTACCTAGACTGAGATTACTCTACAGTGACTTGGGTCTAGACTTAGATCGATCAGTCTGCAGTAATTCGGGCTTAGAATTAAATCACTGCTCGGGACTCAAAGTACTCAACCCTCGTTGGCCCCAATGACTGACTCCCTAAAATCACTTTCTTACTGTTTTCAAGAATTGTTGTATATTATTTGATATATGATGTCATTTGTTGTTGAAACCAGTCACTAAACATGAACCTAGAATAGAGGTTTTTCTGAATGACATTCGTAGTTCCTGATGTCGATTAAGCAGATTCAGGCGTTATGTTTTCTGGACAGACAGACAGAAAGACATACAGTTATTTCAGTATTTGAGACCAGCGGCCCATGTTACAATATGCTGCGTTTTTGTCATGTATGTTTCAATACTAAACACTAACAAATTCCTCCATTCCTCCTCTTCTTCCCCACCCGATCTTCCGAAGCCAATGCTTGTCGTAAGAGGCGACTAACGGGATCGGGTGGTCAGGCCCACTGAATTAGTTGACACATGTTATCGGTTCCCATTTGCGCAGATCGATGCTCATGCTGTTTATCACTGGATTGTCTGGTCCAGACTCGATTATTTACAGACCGCTGTCACATAGCTGGAATATTGCCCAGTGTGGCGTAAAACTAAACTTACTCACTCCTCTTCTTTCAACAACACATCACACAAGTACATCACACAGACAAACATACATATACGTGCACACGTTACAGGGTAAAACACTTCCCACAAGACATCACACAAGTACATCACACAGACAAATATACATGTACGTGCACACGTTACAGGGTAAATCACTTCCCACAAGACATCACACATATACATCACACAGACAAATATACATGTACGTGCACACGTTACAGGGTAAATCACTTCCCACAAGACATCACACAAGTACATCACACAGACAAATATACATGTACGTGCACACGTTACAGGGTAAATCACTTCCCACAAGACATCACACAAGTACATCACACAGACAAATATACATGTACGTGCACACGTTACAGGGTAAATCACTTCCCACAAGACATCACACAAGTACATCACACAGACAAATATGCATATACGTGCACACGTTACAGGGTAAAACACTATAACAGCTTCGACAGCTCACATCAAATATCAATATTCGTTTTGAACAGTTTACAATGCAAACAGTGAATATATTCGAACAGGCTTTCAGGGTGAATTCAGTTGAATGTGGGTCTTCAGGCCAAATAACAATGGTTAGGTTTGCACCATACAATTATAGGTCTTTGTTTCAGTCACACTATACACAAACGCATATTTCTCTGTGAAGATTAATAAGCAAAGCATTATACATTTTTGATATCTTGCACAAAATAATATATTTTACACCACATTCTTGTTCCAATTTATGACATCAAAATAGCTAAGCAACTATAAGCATGTAAGATATAAACAAAATAGCCAGTCGAGAGGTGTAGACCACAAAAGTATAATTATCAGTATCATCATTTCATGCGTGATGATCTTCAGCATGACATATATTCAGATGATTAGACGTGTTGATGTTGACCCGGGTGCTCATGGGCCTGGGAATCTCGCCAATATATTGATCGCCACAACTGCATGGTATTTGGTGTACACATCCTCTAGGGTTGGGGCTGAACACAAGTCGTCAGTATGCAAACAAAATGATAAGTCAGCTATATCGGAGCACAAGGCAAATAACCCAAGTCATGTAATCATGTGGAATGACACAAGTGTGCTTTCGAGCAATATCAACGACTGGCGTCGGAGAAAACTACAGGAGGCTGTGGAGATAAGGAGACATAAACCGGCAATGAATCGTGATCAAGGTGTCTACCTGCCAAGTGCGTGGGACCTCTTGATTAATTTTTGATGAACTTTAGATAAATGGGGAAGCAAAGCCTACTATTCGCTTTTGGGTAATTAGCAGTCGTTGTGATTTGACAATTTAACTTTCAACTCTATTATCTAGCATGAATTTATCATCATTATGTAATTGTAAACCAAAAGTCACTGTGTTCTTTAATCTGATTGGTTGTTAAACATGATCAAATGGTATTCGATTCCCGGAAATTCGCTGCGTATAAATACATACAAACATCGCTCACACCATTGTATTGTTACGTCGTTAGCTGAGATGACGTCATTCAAAGGGAGGGATGAGGGAAGTTTAATCCATAAAAATATCTTGGACATCAATGTACAACTTCTAAATGCCACTGAAAGACAAAATATTTGTAGTTTCTTTAGCAATAACTTGACATTGTCTTGACATCAATTGGCAATAATTTTAGATCGTCTCTTTTCATGATATCTTCAAGATATATATTTTTCAAAACTTTAAGCAATTCAGATTTTAGCAGAAAATACAAATTTGAAATATATGTAAACGTGAACAGGTAGATTACTTACTATTTATCATAGTGGGAAGTTGTAAATGTCATCTGTAACAAACTGATGTTGTATATAGCATGGCAACTGCAATTACTGCGATCGCGATTCATACCATTGTATCGCATGGTCACGTGTTCATCCGCTGTATGTGTGGTTGTCTGTCACCATGTATATTTCTGTTATTGCTGATTGATATGAACATGTGTATATATCAGTTATATCCCGACCTTTCAGTATTGTATAAGGTAAATATGACCAGATCTGACTTGTCGATTTCCGACACCCAGCAGCATGAAGCCAGTCATTCGGTATTTGACAGTTTTATGTGGAACCCTACCATTGTGCAAAAACATTATTTTTGAATACTATACACTGTCATGAAATGTTTATTATGCCAGTGAATAAAATATTGTGAAAAGAACACATCAGTATTTGTTGATAATGAAACTTGGTAGAACGAGGATAAGCAATGCAGTAACTGGTTTTCTTGTTGGTATGCGCAGTAACCTCAGCAAGAACCGGTTTAGCAATTGGAATCCGCAGATACTGGCTTCCTAGTTGATACGAACAGCAAGCTAGCTCACCATGAATACAGAGGAAATAAGATCGAATGCCACATGAGGACTGTCACCTTGCACCTTTGCACCAACCTGCTTTGTTTTATGCAAATTTCCCAACAGATATAAATTGCTTAAGGTATGGACCTTTTCAATTGCTTCATTATATAGTGTTCCCAATATCTCGGAGCCATAAAGAAGGATTTATAAGTCTAAATAAACTTAGGCTCAGTATTATCGTTACACTGCCATACTGAGTCTAACAAAACCTAGTAGAAGGTCGCGTCAGCGACCTATGACCGTCCAATCAAAAGCGAGACGGCCAAACGGATTTAACCAATCAGACAACGACTACTTGTTAGGGTTCGGCGGGACTTACAAAACGATTTTTGGATTTTTTCCCTGGTCGCTGACACTGATAGAGGTTCAAACGGTATGTGCTTATGTTAACTTTCGCGATTTGGTAAGCTGTGTTCTGATTGGTCAGTTCAAAAGATTAGCTGACGCGACCTTCTACTAGGTTTTAATTTGTTAGACTCAGTATAGCAGTGTAACGAATATTACTGAGCCTAAGTTTACTTAGACTGGATTTGTAAAATGTTGCAGTCGATGATAGTCATTGCTGTGGAGACGTCATTTCTTGATTACGTTTAAATAGCTGGTACACAGGCCTTAATGCTTTCGATGCCTGCGATGCCAAATTGCTACATGCAGCTGACCACTTTAGCCTAGATGAGAATAGTAGACCAAGATACTTGTAGTATGTTGTACACTTCAATTGTTCACCCGCGTAGAACCACGCCTCATCCTTGCGTATGATTCCACCATTACGAAACACGGTTATGCTTGATTTATCAATATTGAGTCCCCAAGACTTACAGTACTGGTATAATACGTCTACTTGTTGTTGCAAACCTATAACCGTGTAAGAGAACGTGATGACGTCATCAGCAAATAACAGCATCTTAATATCCTCGATGTCCTGCGAAACAAAGACTCCGTGTTTGCAGGTCTGATAGATTTCAGTGACTACTTCATTGGCACCTAATCGCCAGCACACAAAGTCAGCCGCCTAATCCGCTCAGCCACTGCGACTCTGACTCTGAGGGTGTGGGTTCGAATCCCGGATGGGACTCCGCCCAAAAAAGTACTAGAATCTGTACTTTACTAAGAAAGTGTAATCCCAATTATAACATATGCTGCAGGATCTCGTCATCAGTGATTGCACCAGACAGCAGATCACGCCCAAGAGAATGTTCACTGTGTTCACAGTTATGGTTTGTTATATATTCCATGACAAGTTCATCAAATGACTCGTTCACATCAGCAAGCACAGGATTCAACAAATCTTTGAAGTTTGTAGATAGAGTTTGTGCATTTACTACACATGAAGAGCGTTTATAGTTCATTACTCGTTTCACAGTGTCCTAAAACTCTTTACAGTCTCCATATTTGCGGCATGTTCTAAGCGTTTATAATTAGCAATTGTACCATCCATTTCAGTTTTCACAGCATTTTCTAAAGTGTGACTCTATGTAGTTTACGATCACAGCATTTTCTAAAGTGTGACTCTATGTAGTTTACGATCACAGCACTTTCTAAAGCGTGACTCTATGTAGTTTACGATCACAGCATTTTCTAAAGTGTGACTCTATGTAGTTTACGATCACAGCATTTTCTAAAGTGTGACTCTATGTAGTTTACGATCACAGCATTTTCTAAAGTGTGACTCTATGTAGTTTACGATCACAG